CAGGATCAGGATTTGAACCCCAGCCACCTGGGTCCAGAGGCTGTGGCCACTGTAGAACTGTCTCCCTGACCTGAGGGCCCTGTCCTGGGTCGTTCATGGGCCTACTCTCCCTTCTTATGGGCTTCAAATCCTTCCTAGATTCCATCTGCCTTACATCGGGGGGGACATCAAAGAGTGGCCCTCTCATGGTTAGCTTAGGGTGAAATGGTACCTGGGCCGCCCACATTCACCCTCAGCCCTTTCAAGAGTCCTGGTCCAGTGAATGTCCTCATTCACGGCCCTCTGTCGGCGCGGAGAGCTTTGCCCCAGCCCTAACATCTCCATTCCAGCCTATTCAGTTTCCAGCTCCCGGGAGGCCTGGCAGGATCTGGGTACGTGCCGTATGTCCCTGCTAGCTCCCTGCATGGCACCCCAGCCCATCTGCCTCACGCTTTGCTTTACCCTCCTACTTCCCTTTCCCAAACACGCACACCATGTGCACCTTCACCTGGAGACTTGTGGAAGGCACCTTTTGGGACCTCCTCGGGTTGGTTTCGCTACTGGGGCTTCAGTTAACCCAAGTTACTCGAGATCTTCTAAACAGAAGCACTTGCTGAGTGTTCACTAAGTGCCGAGCACTTTTCACCTCATTTATCTCGTTTGCCCCCATGCCAGTCTTACGAGATAAATACGCTATCATTTCTGTATAATTTATAAACGAGGAAGCCGAGGCTTAGAATGAATACAGCGCTGCAGGCCAATACCAAGTAGTGGGCAGAGTGGGAATTTAACACTTGCTCACCGGAGCCAGACCCATGTGCTTAATCTTTGATACCATTCTGCCTTCTTCTGGTAAAAGCAGGCACCGGGGCTCCATCCCAGCTCCACCTCCTTGCAGGTTTACCCTTTCCCATCCCTTCTCAATCCTGCAGCTGTCTCTGGTACCTCCTCCCCACCCTTTCATCGCCAAATTCCAGAACTCCCCTGCATTCCAAGTCCCTCCATGCTTCATGGCTTCATTCTCTCCCTGGGTACCGCCACATCACTCATCCAGAGACAGGGACCATAGCAGTTAGATCATCCATCCGTTCCTTCATTCCCATCCTTCACTTGTGGAATCCTGGAACATCAGCACTAGAAGGGGCCTTAAAGATTATCTGGTCCAGTGGTTTTCAAATCAGATCTCAGTTTTCAAAGAAAAGCTGAAGAAGTTCTATAGAGAAATCAGATCAGTGAGGGAAGGCGGCATCCAGACTCCTGCCTTCTTAGTCCCACCTCACCCTCTGCAAGCCCTGCCCTGTAGTCCCAGGGTACAGTTGTCCTGCCTTTCCTCCCATGGTGTACAGCGGGACATTGAGGTTCAGGAATTCAATGAGTTGCCCTGCTTGGTTACAGGCTGTTTCCAGACTCTCAGTCCATGAGAAACTGTTGCCTTCAGTCACTAACTGTGAGTTTTCTGTTGTGAGAACTTGGTCCTCAAGCTCTGCGTCACACAGATCTGGGATCTAACCTCATCACTTCTAAATCTGTAAGACTTTGGGCAAGGAAATCATGGAACCTTTGTATTTCTCTATTTCTTCCTCTGAAAAATGGCAAGAATAACAGGGTCTGTCAATCTTCATGTTCTATTACTGTTTAACAAACCACTCCAAAACTTAGTGGCTGGAAGCAGTTCTATTGTCTCTCTCAGGTCTGTGGCATGACTGGGCTCAGCTGGGTGGTTCTTCTGCCAGTGTCCTCTGCAGTTGCAGTCAGATGGCAACTGGAACTGCAGTCACCTGGAGGGCTGATTTACACACTGCATGGCTGAACTTGCTGCTCTTTGGGCACACTCGGGGTCTCTTTTCTCCATGTGGTCTTTCCAGTAAGCCAGCCGGACTTCTTACACAGAAGCTCAGAGATCCCAGAAGCACGAAAGCAGAGGCTCCCGTGCCTTTTAAACATGTAGATGCTAGAAGTAGCACTGTCTTTTTCTGCCGCGTTCTATCCGTTAACGGCTCAAGGGGAAGAGAAACAAACTATTCTCGGTGGTGGGATGACAAATGATTTGTAGCCGTCTGTAACCCACCACAGTCTGCGTGACCTTGAGCAAAAAAAATAACGCTAATTTTCCATCTGTATTCTCATCTGTCAGGAATAAATACAGCGATCCATGGAGAGTCCTTAGAGCAGCGCCTGGCACCGAGTGAACACTCACATGTTAGCTGGCACTATTTTTGTTTCTAACCCATATGCCTAGCGCTGCACTAGGAAACTGGTAGTGGTGGTGGGGTTATAAGAGTAATGGCAAACACAGTTTATACTCCTGATAATAAATAATCTAGTTCATGAGATAAAATTAACACATGCAGAGATCAAAGTACTAATTCAAGTCATTGTGTAATTAAGGAGCCCAGGAGAGGTACAGATAACATATACTTGGGGGAAGCTGGAGGACAAAGCGACTGGGTGTGGGGGCTGGGTGGCCAGTGAAGGCTTCAAGGAGAGAGAGGGTGCCCTTGAGGGATAGGGTAGTTTAATGATAAGAGCTTAAATTCTGGAGCCAAAGTCCCTGTTTTCAATTTTTAAAAAAGAATTATGTATTTATTTTATTTTATTTATTTATTCTTTTATTTTTAATTTGAACAGAGAGAGAGACAGAAAGAGAGAGAGAGAGAGAGAGAAAGCAAGACACCAGGTCTGGGACTTGAACTGTAATCAGCCATGAAAATATCCAGTGCCTTAACCACCATGCCACCTGCTGGCCCCATCCCTGTTTTCAAATCTTAACTCTGGCACTTCCTAGATATGTCTATGTGACCTTAGCAAGTTGCTTCGTCTCAATTTGTCTCTGTTTCCTTTCTGTAAAATGTATGTCTCTCATAAAGCTCAAGTGAAGAAAAAGTGGTTTATTTCCTGTGAAGAGACTAGAACGGTGTTGGACATGCGGTAAAAACACAGTTGAGTTAACCTCAGAATCCTTCAAAAGAGGGAACTTTGGTTAGGTGGAGAGAAAGGACAGAGGCCTCCAGATGGATGGAAATAGAGACTGCTTGTGTGAAGTAAGAAAATGCATGGAGGGCCCGGCAGGCGGTGTGGTGGTTAAGGTGCTGGACTCCCGCACAGCTGACTGCAGTCTGAGTTCTGGACCTGGAGGCTTGCTTTCTCTCTCTCTCTGTGTCTCTCTGATAAACAAATGTGCCCTCTAGCAAATTAAAAAATAGTAATACAAAATAAAATGAAATAAATATAAAAAAGAAGAAGATGCACGGACAGAGTTGGAACGATTTTGAATAGGGGGAGATGGCCCTGAGGAGGCGGTGGAGGCAACAGGAACTAAAGCAGAGGGTGGTGCAGACTGCAGGAGCTTCTGAGTCCAGCCGTTTGGGCTTGATCCTTCTAGGCAAAGGGGAGCTATTGATGGTTTCCCTGCGGGAAGGACGCCACCTGGGCTGTGTCTTAGAAAGAGATCTCTGGCAGTGGCATACAGGTGGATACAGACAGGGAGTTGGCTTGGGAGTCTCATGCCCAATTCAGGCATGAGATAGAGATGTTCTGAGTCAGGGCGGAGGCAGACGGAAAATGCAGGGAGAGAGAATTAGCACAGGCTCCAGGGGAGCCCCTTGCCTCCTGCCCAGTTGACCTTCCATGGCTGGCTGCTGGCTTCCCCTGGCTTCCTGGTTCCAGGCTAGGCTTGCAGGCT